TTCTGCCTAACTTTTGAGACTCTTGCAGATCTAATGGTCAGGGCATCCTCTCTACTGTAATAGTTCCTTTCCTCACGCTCTATATTCCTTCCGAATAAAGTCTTTCCTTCCTAAGTCCAGAATTTTTATTTGACACCCTTTCCAATTCCAAAACGGCTGAGTTTGAAAGATAAGCTGACCTTGCCGTTGAAGTGACAGGTGTTGATCCTTTACAAGAAAGGGTCCGTTGTCTGCCTGGAAAACCTAAAGGCATTTCTAAGATTTGAAGTTTTTGACCACAGCTCTGCAGCTAAGGAGGGAAGGGAGAAGAAAATCAACCCGGCAAGGTCAACTCTGGGACCACCTGGCGCCACGAGCTGTACACAGTGAATGGGCCACCAACATTTTGGCTACGTACTCCTGGACAGAACTCGCGGTTGGGCAGGATACATGCCGCTTTCTCAGGAGCCCAAGCGCTCCAGCGCTCCAAGGCAATTGGTGGGTCCTGGCCTGCGGGTCATCCCATTGCTCCCTCCCGCTCCATCCTCAGCTGGGCACCCGACCGGCTCCCTTCACAGGACCGACCTCCCGGCCCCTTCCTCCCCACTGCTGTTACTCCAGCCCTCACAGGACTCACCATGGCGTCAAGGACAGGTTGTGGACCAGACGACCTAGAGTCGCCGGGGCAGTCCTGGTCCTCCACTCCCCGCCCTGCAGCGGGGAAGCTCTAAACAACGCGAAGGAGACAGTCTTCCGGCTGTGCCGGAAGTCCTGCCTGCGCGGGACAGGAAGTCCCTCCCCTCTCCTAAACGCCAGCGACCTCACGCCACGCAGAGGTGAGAATACGCAAGACGTCTTCTACTGCCACTTCCGCGGGTGCTAGGTTAGAGGCTGGGGGCGGTGCTGACCTTGAGAGCGCGTGGGGGAGGCGCAGGCGCAGCACAGGTAGGTGGGCGGGAGGCGCGTGGTTGCGGCGCCTGCGAGGATCCTGAGGTAGGTTGGGTGGTTTGGGCAGGAGCGCATCCTCACCGTGGGAGGTGATGGAGGCTCAGGTTGGTGAATGCAGTAGGAGCCGACCCCAGACGCAGCAGATTTAGTGAGGGAGGAAAACCTCATTTAGGCCGTGCTCGTGCTGAGACAGCACAGTACTTGACTCAGCTCAGTCACGTCCTTTCTCTTTTTACCTCCTCGTTTTCTCGCTAGCGCTAAGAAACTACAGGTCTCCACAGATCTGTCTCCCTGTCTTTGCTTCCTCCAGCCCTACCCTTCATCAGGGCAGTGGGATTTGATCGTGCGAAGTTTCTTCATTATTCACAGATACCAACTGAAGCTAAATGAACATCTATCAAGAGCAGAGAAACCAGGAAGAGAATTCTACCTATTTAATACGTTACAGTATGGATGATTTCCTTTTAGTTTAAAAAATATATATCATCAGCTGGAAGAAAGTGAAACTCCCATATACCTCTTAATTTTGCATTTTTTTTTTTCCTCCAAAATCTGTACCCATCAACACTGCGTTTTATGGCACTAGTAAGACATGGTACTGGAAGCAGGCTGGAAATGGATGTACGGACCCCCTTAATTCCAGAAATTAATCTCGCACCTTGAGGATCCTTGCTTAAGTCCAGACTGTATTAGCAGTTTCATCTGTGGGAATCGCTTTTTGCCATAGTGTCTAGTTTTGTCATAAAGCTGGAATTGGGAAGGGACTAAGAAGCTTCAGAACGTTGGGCAGGTAGAGGTGGCTATAGATCTTATGTCTGATGCTCCTCATCAGACTACCTGGAGAGCATGATATCTAAGCCATAAATGGTCGAAAGACCCTGGGAATGCGAGTTCTGAGCTATCCCAAAGAAGCATGCAGGGGGCAGTTGCTTTACATTAGAAAAGGTGCTAGAAACTGAGTGTATGGATGGTTTTTACTTTGAATTTTGATTTTTGGGCAGATGAATAGCATAACAATTAGAGAAGATATAGAAATCATTGGTAACAGCTAGGGATGGGTTGGGGCTGTGAAATAGTTTGTGAAACATCCTGCTGTGGATGAATCCAGAACATCCCTGAGGGATCTACTAATGCTTTAGACAAGCCCCAGGGCATCTGCAGATGGTAAGTGTGGTAGAGAGGGATTGGCATTGTCTGCTGGCGTAGATCTGTGGGAAACATCTGCTATCCTTGAGGAAGAAAAGGTGCAGAAGGAACGTGGCTATCAGTCTGTCATGACAACACATCTTGTGAAGTCTTACTCCTTTCATATGTGATGCTGTGGTACTTAATCTGTCCCAAATCTGGCAGCCTCATTGAGGTTCACAAAGCATCTCCTCTTAAGTGACAGTAAGACTGGTATTATCATCAGGGTGGAATCCATTCCTGCCAGAGTAAAACGAGGAAAAGAAATCACAGTATTTGTTATCTTCCTATTATTTTTTATAAATCATCGCATTCTGTGTCCCTTATTTGGTGTATGGCAAGTTGATAACCTTTGGTTAATATCTTTTAATAGTCTTATTTCCATTACAGTGTAAAAAGTCTGTTATAAATAATTTTTTTAAAGATTGAAATGCATACAATATGTGTGCTAAGACAGCATTTCCCAGGGTTTTTTTTTTTTTAACCAACAGAATATAGTGTATTGGTTACATGCCTTGAACTGGAAGGCTTTACCTATTTCTATTACTTAAAATAGATGAGAGTCTTTGATAAAAATATAAAGGAAGGGGAGAATTATGAAGGGAATAAAATATGTGGATGATTGAGATTAACAAGAAATCCGGTAGTTTTTGGCAAGAAAGATAGGAGTCCAGTCTTTGATAAAAGTCTTGATTGCTTACTGTTAGGGTTTTGTGATGAAAGCTTCCTGGTGAGAACTGTTCTCAAATACTACTTAAGAACACCAACAAAAAGTTACCTCCTCCAACACATGCACCAACCTGGAACATTTTCAACCATTAAGACGGATCACTTTTTCCAAGTTCTGCTCTATATTCTTTGTAAAATGTTTTTCTCATCAGCTCCTCCTCCTAAGAAATTTCCACTATTTTTTCTTACCTCTAATAAATATTATTATAGGCTTTCTTTTATAGTGCCTTTGTTATTCCCCTCACCAATGTATATTGTTTTCCTAATTAGACATAAATGCCTGGAGAGCTGGGACCTTCTTTTTGTTTTATCTGCCCCCATCCCATTAAGAAATACCATTTAAATGAGTGTTGTAGACAAAATGTTAGTCGTAGCAACAATTAGGTAAAAAATTAGGAACAATCTTTAACAATTAGAAATTGGTCAAATTATATCGTATGTACTTAGTGAAATATATTATAGCTATTTTTAAAAAGCCGTAAGACTAGTATTTCTAATGTTTGGAAAATGTTTGTTTTCCAAGTTAAAAAAGTAGGATACAAAATTGTAACCAGTACAATTGCTTTGATGTGAAAAAAATCCTAAGCATAGAACAAAGAATTAAAAAGGAAGTAGCCAAAATATATCAATCACCATTCCTGGAATTACCACTCTTAAAACAACCTATCTGTAAGGGGGTAATTTTTTAAAAATTTATTTTCTCTTAAGAATGGATGAAAAGAGCTTTTTAAAAAATAATTATTTATACTTTGTAATATGCACCTGTATCACTCTAATCTTTCTAATATGAAACAAACAAACATTCTTCAGGAGCATATTGCAGCCCTTTAATAATTCAGTGGCTTTCCTCCAAACCTTCCCTTTTTTTACATGGTACCATAGTTATATCTAGGACTATACCACATATCTGATTAACTGATGAAATAACTCTTGCAAATTTTACACAAATTACATAATTTGTGTAATTTCAAGGATCAGAAACAAATAATGAGATCTTGATATTATTTGATACCTTTGGTGTTAGGAAAATCTTAAAACAACTACCACCAACTGCAGAAAACATACAAAACCATAAGGAACTACCTATCTATTTAAAACCTAAATTAGCTTTATTCATTCATTAAATATTTATTGAGTATCTACTCGTCCGAGTCACTGTTCTAGACTTGGGGAAACAGTAGTATTTAGAACAGACATGGTCCCTACTAGCAGAGAATTTACATTTTAGTGGTAATAGGCCATAAATAAATAAGCAATGAAAATATAGGGTAGTAATAGTGCTGGGCAGAAAATAGATAATTGTTTGAGATTAGGTAACTTAAGAAAACGTCTAAGAAAGTGCCATGTAAGCTACTGTTTGACAGGAGAATCCAGCTTTGCCAAAATATGCTAATCCATTGCTTGAAGAGGGTACAATAATACAAAACCCTAAGACATGAACTAGCTTGAATATTTCAGGACTTTTGTGCCACAAAGACAAGATTACATTAGGGTTATTTAGTAAAATGTTTTTTAAGACTTTTGGAGGACTACGCTAGAAGCAAAACATCCAAATCAACCATAAATCAAGATAATATACTTAATGAATATTGCTCCTTGAATCCATATTTCATTTACATGTCCTGTCTCTTCTGCCTGTAATGCTTTAATAAAAGATGGTTTTTGAAGGAAAGACACAAATAAGCCATATATAAGCATTTTTTTCAGATAGCTGAGTACGATTTAACAAGATGCATCTTAGAAAGTGTCCATAGAAGTCTATAAGCAGAAAATTTAAATATTCAGGAATATTTAATTTAAATATTCAGAAAGTATGAATGAAGAAATCACAAAGAGAAGTATTAAAATTTAAATATTCAAATCCAAATGATGTAGACACTTTTGATTATCAAAATAGCACACAATTCGGTTTTAGAATTTAATACTGGAAAACGCAGTGAAACATGCACTAATATGGAATAGTGACAACAGCATGACAGAAAAGAATGAGAACTGGAAGGTTTATTTTACCTACAAATTCATCTTCTAGAAATCTATTTTAAGGAAGAAACCTATTTTATAAATACAATGCATTAAATGTTCATTCTGATTATATACTTATAAAAAAAAATTAGGGTCTAATTATTTACCACAAAAAAAAGTTTCAGACAACAGCAGACCTCATAATTTACTAGACACAGGTTGTAATATAATTATGCTTAATATGTTTGAAAAAATAAAAGATCAGTCTTTTTAACTCCATGAATTAGTTAGAAACTTTTTTCACCTTCTTAGCCATCTTCTCAAGAATCAGCTGATACCTCAGAGAAAAAGCTATCATAAGTGATGGGTTCAACAGCTCTGGTTTTTTCTCTTTCTAGATTTTCCACTGCTTCATTAGGTCTCTAACACCTTCAGATTTTTGTTTTATCTTTTGTCCAGCCTTTCTAGTTCTCAGGAGGACTAGTCTCAGTTACCTAGTCCATCATTACTAAAAATAGAAATAAAAAAAATAATTTAAGTACACAGAAAATGTTTACAAAATTTAAGGATAAAAAGTCTTTCAAAATTTCAAAGGATTGGTGTCATTTAGGTCACATTTTCTATTTGCAGTATAATTAAGTTAGAAATCCAGAAATCTAGAAACCTCACGTATAGTTAATGAAATGAATGAAACAGAAACAAATATTCAACACAGAGGGACAACAAAGTCAAAGTTGTATCTTTTAGTACATATTGGCAGATATATAAACTCACAGGGCTGTAAACTACGGCATAGGGAATATAGTCAATAATAATATATGTGGTGTCAAATGGGTACTAGACTTATTGGGGTGATCACTTTGTAAAGTACATAAATGTCTAATCACTGTGTTGTACACCTGAAAGTAATATTGTATGCCAATGGTAATTTAAAAAAAAATGTTATAATACTAACATTAATAAATCTTGGAAAAGGTTACTCAAGAAATACACAAGGTATTAGAAATGAAAA